TAAAATAAAATAATAAAAATAGCAAAATGCAAACACCACAATAATTAGAGTTAAAAATTAAAATGTATAGCCGATTACTCTAGAACACTTATAAAACAAAAATAAAAACTACCAATTATAAAAAATTGCACATTAAGTAAACTAAAAATAAATAATATAATGATGAAGGAGTGCTTTTGAAATTTAAAATTTGCTTGCAGAATATTATTCATCGTGATGTAAAACCGTCCAATATTTTGCTTGATTTGAATGGAACAGTTAAATTATGTGATTTTGGTATTGCTGGACGCTTAGTTGATTCAATGGCTCGAACACGTACGGCGGGTTGCTCTGCTTATATGTCGGTAAATTACTAAAAACTTTTTTACTCAAAAGATTTTTGAGGTAGAAATGAAATCGTAAGCAAATTTGATTAGACCAAGCTGATTTTTACTTCCCATAATATTCTAAGCTTCTTTCCAAGTTTCATTGGTTGCAGTTATTTTCATGAATTTTATTTTCTTCTAACCTTATATTTATCTCCAATCATAGCCTGAACGGTTGGAAGCACAAGACGAATATGATGTTCGGGCTGATGTTTGGAGTATTGGAATTTCATTGGTTGAATTGGCTAAAGGTGAATATCCCTATCATGGTTGTAACAGTGAATTTGAAGTACTTTCACGAATTGTTTCTGATCCAGCACCGGTGCTGCAGCCTGAAGAAGGATTTTCGTCAATGTTCTGTGATTTTCTTCGCCTTTGCCTTACGAAGAATTATCAATTTCGACCAAAATATAAGGAACTTTTGGTATGTTTCCTCAAAATCCCTGTACCACTTTTAATGCATTCATTTGTTTATTCATTTGCTATTAGGTTTTCAAACTAATCAAGTTGACAATAATACAACATTGTTTCCATCGAATTTCAGTTTTTAAGAATAGTAGAATTGTTTGAATAATGTAGGTTCAGGTAAGTATTCAGTAGAAAAATTTGCTGAGTAAACGATATGTCGTATCTCTTTAATACATTAGCGAGATATTTATCATTACAGCGCACATATCACTGTTTGAACAGAAACAAGCTGAAATCTGGTTTTTTTGATAAGATCAGTTACTAACTTATTTTGTCATTATGACATTTCCACTGAACTAAATTTGTCAAACTAGAAAAATATACGCATTTTTCAATTGAAAGCTTTATTTCAGCGGCATGAATGGGTGGTACATTATGAAACTGCGAGAGTGGATGTTGCTGGTTGGTATCAAAGAATTGTCCAGAGTTGATAATGAGCTTCTTTCGTGCATTATCATACATCAAAATCCAAGGGAATTCTTCGGAAAACTTCAAATTATTGTGATTTAAGTGTAAAACACTATAACTTCATGATGTCACTAACAGAATTTTTAAATCTACTGTAATATCAGTAATGTAAATAATAGTTCTTCAAGCTTTCATCATTAATTTTTGCTTTTCAGGATAAAATTTTGTTAATTGTTGTCAGTTTTAAATAATGCTTTAAAAAGTTTAGATTTTGTTTTTCTCTTCAAGCTATTATTGTTCTTGGAAGAACGATAAAATTGTATGTCTTCTAATAATAGTCTCTTCTGAGAACATTTCTAAAAATTTCTCAGATATTCATATTCATGGTAAAAATATCACATTGTCATTTGCATGCTTCCATTTAGCAATCACTTCGTAAACTTGTCTGTAACAGCTGAAAATCCCAAAAACAGTAATGGTTTGATGATTCAATCGATTTTGCATAACCGTGATATTTTTATAGTTTATATTTTGCATAACCTTATAGTAATGGTTTACATAACCGTGATATTGATATTTTTATGTAATTGTTATGCAGAAAATTTTCCGGTGAGAATGTAACGCTCATGCATAGACTAATTTACATATCGATTTCCTGAGGATAACAATATATTTGCATATTAAGTTTTCTTAGTTTGAACTGATTATTTTTGCTGGTTTCCTAATTTGCTTCAAACTTGTAGTGGTGCATAGTTGTTACAACTCTGTAACAGTTCAAGTGAGATATTCAAAAAGGTCAAGTAGGAGAGGAGAGGAAATGAAAATAGTTGAGTTACTGAGAAAAAAAAAATCTCTAGCATTATTGATATATTGTTGTATATGTGTTCTGTTTTCATTATAATTGTTCATTGCCCTATGAATGATTATTTTGCGCCTTGTATGAATGTTTGTTTATTCATTTGCTCTTCATCTATTTTCTGCCAAAAAAAAAATATTTAATAAATTTATCATTTAAAAATTGTATGTTTCTTGCACTCAAATTTTTATGTATAAAGTAGGAAATTATGAATTATTTCCAGCTTAAATTTAGAACAATTCATTCTTCTTACTCCAGCTGCTTTAGTCCGACATTCAATTTTTGAATTCAATTCCGTACCATCGATGAAATCGGGTTTAAAGTTCAAATTTAGCACTTGCATGAGTCTTTTTATTTCCATATTATGATTTCATCCCTTTCTCCATCTTTTTCTTTAAGTTTGTTTCTAATTCAGAACTTTAATTCCGAATCTGTATGTGGGTATTTTTCGTTATAATTGTCGTTTAACGAGAAAAAAAAGATCGAAATTGTGAATTGTCATTCATTCGGACATTTCTTCAATTGATGAAATTCATAAAATGTCAGTTGAACTTCCAACCTGTGTTAGAGTTAGTTTTTAAATGGTAAATAATTTTGGAACTTGCCTGTTATCAAAATACAGGAATAGTTCAGTAATTGCCGCTATTGTCCATTCGTTTTTTGCTTGTCAAAAGCGATGTATACAGCAAGTTTTTCAAATAATTTGAATAATTAACATAAATATTATACTTGAATTATTAGTACTTTGTGTTTCTTCCAACCAGAATCGAAGAAGTCCAAGAGGGAAGCTCATCATATCACTCTTCATGCATATTTTTACTTTCCATTTCTTGTTTCTATCTATTATTGTTTCTTTTTTCTATTTCCTTGTTTCATCAAAAAGTTCAAAGAATTCAAGGTCTAAATTTCAAATATTCTAATATACATTAAATAATATTGTACATAGCTTATTATCAAGTTTTAACAGTTTGTAATTTAATTTTATTAATCGAAGTAGTCGTCAATCAATTTTCAATAACAAATAGTCAAATTTGAATAATTGCAATCAATACATGCTTTTGAAATTAGCATATTTCAGGTTTGTGTCGAGTCAGTTGGGCTGGTAATAATCATTTGGATTGGTAGTTGTGGTGTTGAGCGTAAATATTGGTCAGAAATGTTTTCCTTAGAATGGAAAATTTCGAAAATGCGTGTAAGTTTTTTGATAATTAATTATAATGTGTTTGCTGTATGTTATAGAACGTGATAACTGATCAGGACATCAGCATTCCTTTTTATCATTCAATTCCGATGCAGTACTTAAACATTAGTTTATAGCAATATATTTAATATCAAATATGATTATTTGTATGTGACGTTTCAGTATTTGAATTTATTAAAAATTAGTTACCGTATAGTTAGTACTATTATCAGGCTCGATATGCTCGTACAAGTTGTCAGTTATTTTATTGTAATTTGTCGAATTAATCTGACAAATAAGGATGTTGCATCAGGAAATCTTAAATGTCTAGTCCTCTTTGTTCATTTTTTCTTTTATTGATTTATTTATTGTCGCAATATTGCATTTTATAATTATTTTAAATCTATCAGCAAATATTACAGTAATTGAAAAATAGGAGAAAAAAACTAGAACTCTATTCATTATACTCTTAATCAGTAAATTATCTTTCATTTTACTTCTTTGAGTATAATCAAAGAGCTGACGAAGTACTTAGGTAAATGATTATTTTAATATAGTAGCAGTATAAAGTAAATGATGTTATCAGTTACTATTCTTAGGATATGTTTCCGTCCTTAAGTGTCAAGGAAATTCGAGTTTTGCTAAAGTTGACAAATGGATGTATGGCTTCTGCAGTTGATATGGCATTTGAATTAGTACATCATGCACCCGAAATACCAAAACCTGAGCCTCTGGAACCCTTTCCTACATATTACGTATTGCCACCTTTGAAAAATCAGCCTGAGACAGGATCGTTACTATCGTCATCTTCAGAACCAGTTCGAGATGAAACAAAAAGTGAGAGCTGCTCAAATGAGAAGCGTTCAACCATGGAACAAAAGTGATCTTCCCTTCATTTATGTTTATTTGATCTTTAAAATTGCCACTTCGAACATCATGAAAGATTAAAAATTATCCAGCATATTTAACACAGCTGTATGGAAAAATAAATTGCATCGTATTTGTTTCATCTGCCAGATGGTGAAGTTATGATTGTCAATAACTTTGATAAAGAGTTTAAATTTTAGCTATTAGCTTACATACATCTATTTAGACTTCTGTGTTGACGGATTAATTAATTGGAATAGCTTTGCATTGGCATCATAAGTTGTTTTTGGGAGACTAGTATAGTTTGTATCTTTAGAACGATAGAACAAGATTTGATAATCTTAGTGATATTGCTAATTGTTCATTTCCGATTTTTCCAGAATTTATTACTTCAGTTCCCTATTTTTCTTTTCTATTATTACAATTATTTGCAAAATTACAGAGTTATTACTGTGAAATTAAAACTTATGATCTCAATAGAAGGCGTTCCAAAGAAACAAATCAAATACATTCTCAGAAATATTCTGCAACATGTATGTTAGCGTTTAATTTACTTTTTTTTGCTAAAGTGGAAATCTAAATGGCAATTTTAATTATAAATATTCTTTGTCTTGCTAATAATGTAGACTTGAAGGGAGATTTTAATTCAGTATTCAATTTGAAATCTTTGGTTTTTATGTGAATAATTCTTGTTTCTGTTTGATAGCAGAAAAAATAAACTGGTATTGTATTTGATATTTTCCGCAATAGAAAGAACCGTAAAGCTTTAATTCGTTCAAAACTCTTGGATTTCACTAGTTTGAAAATTCCTCAAAGGTAAAAATGTTAATAGCGAGAAAAAACCTTTGAGTGAAATATTTCAAGATTTTTCTTTTTATTTTATAGTGTAATTGTTCAATTCGGTTTTTCCACGAATTAATGCCATGTCTGCAAGCAGCTTATGAAGAAAAATGTGTCGAAGTTTATGTTGAAGTTGAATTTTCTTGTGATAGAAGATCAAGTCAAGAAGCACTGATTGATTTCACGAAATCATTCATTGCAGAGTCTGGGTAAATTTTCCAAACTTTGCTCTTAAAATGCAATATTTGTATCTTTCTTTTCGTAAACTTTTTGTAAACATTTCAAAAAACTGAAGTGCTTTTGAGGTGCAGATATAATTTTTCAGCTATGGTCTTGAAATGCAACCTTATATGGAAATACGAAATATTGATCAAATATTAACTGATATACGGTTGGTTATTTGCAGTTACTATTTTCAAGTCTATCCGTGCATTTCGTTTCACTTCAAGGCTCTTCAAAAATTTACCCTTTTCTAGAGAATGGAATTAAGTGATTTATAAAATTGCAGGATTTTTGAAACTTAGGTCTGCTTTGCCGGCCAGTTCCTCTCATTTTTTGACAAGGACGAAAAGGGAAGATCACACTTTTTTAAAAGACTAGTTGAAAAACATAAAAAAGGAGATGATAATTCTAAAATTTCATAATTTTCTCGAGTATTGATAGAACTTTTTATTTTCATATATTTATTTGTTGAATTTTTGAAAAATAATCGACGATTTTCTTTGCTTTTCATTTCGAATTTTATTTAAAATACAAATTTTGAACATACAAAGAAATTCACCCAACTCATGGATTTCCTAAATTTTTGCTCGAAAATTCAGGATTGAAATAATGCATCATTTACAGACCTGATCATGCAAACGTAGACATACTCTGGCTTGGAATTGGGAATATGCCAAATATGGGCTTATTTTTCATCCGTGGAGAATACGTAACAAAGTATAACACGTGCAGTAATAGATTAATCGTAAATTCAGTATGTGAAACAAAAATGAATAATGCTGCAGGTGAGTATTTGTTCTTCGATAATTTTCAAAATTTAAATTATTTTTTGAATCATTCATCAACGCTGACTGAAATTCACATTGTTGTCCGTTGCCGTTTAAGTTGTTTTATGATATTTTCGAGTGATTTGGAATAATATAATTGGATAAATTGGTAAATAGGTAAATTTGTTTAATTTATCTGTATTAATAATATGGGGGCTGCTAGCAGTCAGTAGAAACGATGCAGTTTCGAAATTTGTTTAAATTTCTACCCATTGGAAACTAATTTGTGAGCAAAATTTGGTGCAGCATTGAAAAATTTCCATACATACGCAAAAAATTTCAACTGAAATTTTGAAACAGCTATGCAAAAATAAAACTATACCAAAAATTTTTTGTTGTTAATTTTTTTAATATTTTCAACAATTATGAAAACCTTGATATTTGAATTTTATGTTAAATTATTACAAATAAATTAAAATTTTAGGTAATCATACACTATTATCATGGGCACATTTTGAACACGATCGACGCTTGCTAACTATTTATTTTGCTATCGAGAATATTATGCACGCTCATGATGGGCTATCATATACAGGCTATAAGTTTGTTATCACATATAGTTCATTTTATATGGTTATCGTTGATTGTGATTCGGATCCAGATGAAAGAGATAACTATGTTTATATTTATTTACGACATCCACCACAGGTTTTATAATTTATTCTTTGTTCCTTAAAGTCTTGGGACTTATTTTGTTTACTTTTTTGTTTATCAGCACTGCGCATTTGTGGTACGTTTTTGAGAATTCACACTATCAAACAGTTTGATTCACTTAGGTGAAAAAATATTTATTAAAATATTGCTAATCTAAACAGTGCTAATAATTGTAAAATAACTTACAGTAGCTGTACTGATGATATGACGTTGCTGTTAACTTTGAGATGTTATTTGATATTTTGAATTTAATATGCTCAAATCATAGTTCCAATAATTTAAAATGCAGCTATGGGAAGCGGTACCACGAATCATGACAAATGGAAAGAGAGTCTTAAATATTGAGCAATGCCGCGATTGGATACGCGTGGGAAGTTTCCCGGGAAATAAACATTTTGCCGGTTGTTCTCAGGTATTTTTAAACGATCAATTACTTCTTGGAAATTTGACAAAATCATAATTTAGATTTCTCCTTTCTTGATTTTGAATCAAAATTTTGATTTTATGAATAGTCAATAAAATAAACAAAATGAATTTTTATATAGGAGACTTTAGCTAGTTCATCATGGCTCAGCTTTTCGATGTCGAAAGAAGCAGTAAAGCCGGAAAAAATGTTCCCAGATGAAGTAGTTGAATGGCGAAGACGCTCATCAAGTGTAAAATTGGTAATAATTCGGTGATAAATGTTTCAGCTGAATAGCAAAATTCATTAAATCTTGACTTTAGCCTCATTGTAACTTATCCAAGGGTATAAAAATGCCTGTTAGCGGAGAAATCAGTACTTTATCATAGCTTAGTTCATGTTATTTTGACTCTATTTTTTGTATCCATGAAATATGGCACATTTTCCATCCAGCAACACAGAAAATTTTTGTTTATTTCTATAAGTTTACATTCATCATTTTTTGGTTGACATATTCAACGAAGAAAAGAAGTTTTATATCCTTTGTCAATAAATGAGGAGATTATAATTTTTTCGAGTTTTTTATTTTACTAAAATTACAAATTTCTTCGGAATCCTCCGGAAGTGAAACACGTTCTTCTGGAATTTCTTCCGGAAATGAAATACCTTAATGTTTGTTTTTTTTTAAGACTCCAACACGTCAGCTTTTTGAAATTATTGCACGATGGAAACGTCGAGCCAAATGTCGAATATTTTTTGCAGCAATAATGAAAATTCCTCGACGAGAAATTTCGGATATTCGCATTCTGGAATTACCATCATTCAGGTACTCGATTTATGTTGCCTCGTTAAAAAGAAACTTCTTTTTTTCTGTACTAGATCTTAGTCTTGAAGAAGTTAGAAATTGCTGTGAAATTAACAATATTTAATGCGATCGGGAACGTATACTGGAAAACTATGAGCATAATCAATAAATCGCTAATTGTAACAAAAAAGAAAAAAATTAATATCGTGAATAAAATTATTACAGTTTCTCTGACTGCATTTCAACATCTTTATAGAACGATTTATATGATAATTCTAGATTAAATTATGCGATGCAAGCATTACTAAGTAGAGGAAGTGTTATAAAGGATCAACTTTTTGACGTTTCACAACCATCCTGCAATAATCTCTTTTTCAAACGTATTAATTACGCTGCTCAGGTATAGAAAATGTTTATTAATTAATTTGATTCAATTCAATAACGATTAGATTTATTTGGTTTGTTACAATTACAGAGTTAGTCATTAAATTGGTTGAGTCTCTTTATTTTTATTCTTTTGTTTAATATTAAACTACAATTATCCGAGTTTTTTGCTTAAATTTAATTTAAAGTTTACATTTAAATTTAATTTAAAAAACTCCTGCATCATAGTTATATCACTTTTTTGTATACTTTCTAACGGGAAGTATTAGATAAGAATATAATCAAAGTTCACTATTGCAAGTGGTTGTATGTATGTAAATGTATGAAGATGACTCTACGAGTAATACTATGAACGTAATGAAATTTTGAAATGAAAAAAAAAATTTAAATTACACTTTTTCAGGAATGCTTATTAGCTTGTGAAGAGACCTTAGATTCTGTTTTGGCGGCTGTAGATGAAAAACGACGGATCTCATTACTTAATTTTTTTGAATATACTTATGTTCAAAAATTAAATGTTTTTCGAAGAGTAGCGACTGGCGAGGAGGCTGAATCGCTGTCGGATCTACCTCATAATTGTGTCTTAATTCGTAAAGTAACTATCTTTGTTTTATGAAGAAAATGAAAAACCTGATTGTAGCTTTTGCGTGCTGATAGATTC